CTCGGCCCGCCCCCACTCGTCACAACAGTATATATATATGTGTGTGTGTGTAAACATATGTATACACACACACACTTTACTTATTTATTCCTTAAATTCCCATGACTTTACCATAACATACAAGCTCAAAAATACATATTTTAATTAACATTTACACCAATTAAAGGATTAACACAGCGTAAAGACTTAAAAATATTATCATAGCTTAGCAAAATTAGCAATGAAATTGCTTAATAGTTTAATTGTCACTTTAAAATATATTTTATTTTGTTTAGTTGCATATGGATTAAAAAGTCACTCCAACATCTGTTTATGCAAAACACAGTGTAATCACTTTAAAATATTACAGCATCAAATGTATGTATGTGCTCTGAATAGAAGACTTTTTTAATGCTTCAGAGATCAGATCTCTCCTGCTATATAACATAAGCCTCTAATGTAAATCTCAAAACTAATGAACTGAGGAAATGTAAATGTCTTACTGACAAGTCACCCAGTGTAACTTTCAATCCTTAATTCTGCAGAGGACATGTCAGTATAGTCCTCCTAAATTGCTCTGTGAAAACCACTGCAAGCAGCTTGCTGACTGTCCAATACAATGCAGACATGGAGGAGTTCTGCTGGGCACCTGTTTGAGTCCAGACAGACTACGTCTGTTTATCGATTACATATCAAGAAATGCACCTGCTCACAGATTTGAACTGACGTTTCTTTGGGATCCTGATAATTCTGCTCGGGAGAGTTTGGGATGTGTGATTCAATTTTACTGCAAAGCTCAGCATCTTAGCTGTTCTCTGTCTTGACCGATTATTGTCATTTTAACACATTTTGTTCTTCAGGACTCTGGTAGGAGGTGAGCTAAATCAGTTCAGGTGCTAGTTCACAGTTTATGGGTTTCTGATCCAGTTTCCACTCTCTCTGTCTGTGAAACAGAGGTGTGGTAGTCACTTATCCATACTAACACAAGGTGCACAGATGATAAAAGCTTTTTTTTCATATCTTTACACCAATCTTGAGAAGTTCATGCATCTGTCACCCTCATTTCCAAATTAATATGTTTAACATGCATCAGAGAGAATACCATTTTGCTCCAAGGTGAGATTAAAGGTGAAAGGATTTGGAGAAATTTAGCATGACATGACTTGCTCACCAACTGATCCTCTGCAGTGAATGTGTGCCGTCAGAATCAGAGTCCAAACAGCTGATAAAAACATCACAATAATCCACAAGCAATCCACACGACTCCAGTCCATCAATTAACGTCTTGTGAAGTGTAAAGCTTATGGATTATCGGCTGGTATTTTGGCCAAAAGCGACAGTTTAACATCTTTATGATGGATTTGTTTCTTACAAACACACAGCTTTTCACTTCACAAGGCGCTGTTAATTGATGGACTGGAGTCATGTGGATTACTTATTGATTATTATGATGTTTTTATCAGCTGTTTGAACTCTCATTCTGACAGCACCCATTCACTGCAGAGGATCCATTAGTGAGCAAGTGATGAATGCTAAATTTCTAAATATTCGATCTAAATATTCCCTCACAGTTTAATAGCAATGACTTTATGAATTTCTTCACTGAAAAACAAGATAACATCAGAAATACAATAACAAATTTAGATTCTACAGCATCTAGTACTTCAGCTTCATTCATCGCACCCAAAGGAAAACGGCAGTGCTTTACAAATATAGGACAGGAAGAGCTAAATATACTTATCACTGCATCTAAACCAACAA